CCCCCACTATAAGCAGCAGATGAAACAGAGTACGTCGCACTTTCCCGCATTTCCTACGAGTCGAGCCTTTATCCATCCTGCCGAGAATTAAATCTTCTATGTTTACTCTCTATCGTTCTTCCTAATCTTAAACTTCTTCCTTTTCTTTTTCTTCAGTGTTCACCGAGTCACAGTTCACCGTGTCGCAACAGTCGGCGCCTTCGCGCCACCGAAGGTCATCGAGATGATGACTCGACTATTATCGATAATACTTTGATGAATTTTATTTATTTATATTTAATTAAACTACTTATATTTATTACAATTTTTTTTTTAAATTAACTCCCTTCACCGATTTCTTCTTAACCTACCACTTATTTCGATGTTCGATAGATCTACGATAACAACTTATGATTATCGTCAAAATGATCACTGTTTTAAACTGACAATTTCGACCGGTAAGATCGACGTAACGACATAAACACGAATAAACAACACACTGGAAAGATTAATAAAAGAAAAAAAGAACAAAACGATTAAACACGGTTAAGCACGATGACGATCACGGACAAGAACAAGAAGAGTGCGCAACGCGAACGCGATAGTTCCTGACTTGCAACTGACGAGGGATGCTGCACGAAGAGTTTGCGCCAGTTTTGCGCCCGCGCACAGAATCCTTACTCCCCTTTGCCCTACCAGCCTCCCAGTCAGTTAGTCATCCCGATCTCTCTCTCTCTCTCTCTCTCTCTCTCAAACCCATTGTCTCTGTCCAGCTTACGCTCATTCATCCGCCCCCTTTCCTCCTTCCTCCTTATGGATATCGTCCCCGCTAGCATTGCTTGGTTTCTCTTGTTCTCTCTCTGTCTTTCTCTATTTCTCGTAAGCCCATCTCCATTACACTCTGTTCACCGTCTTCTTCTTCTCGTCGTCCTTTTCTATCGCGAGTCTAACCCTATTACACTTTTTCCATCCCCCCCTGATCACCCAAACCATCCTCTTCTCCTCTCTATCTGCCTGTCTTGTCTTTCGGTTATCCCCTCGTCATTCTGGTCCATCTTCCTTTTTCTTCTTCTTCTTCTTTTCTTAGATTCCATTCTCTTATCTTTATCTTTCTCTCTCTCTCTTTCTATACTACCCTTACTCTTACTATCCGTCTTCGCCTCACATCTAACTTCGCGCGCATCCTTTCGGCGGGCTGTATTTCAAACACTAAAGAGTTTCTTAGAAAATTGAATTGAATCTCACCCTTCTTCTATTTCTCTCCCCTTTTCTCTTTCTCTTCTTATTCTTCCTCTTCTTCTTCTTCTCAGGAATCTTTCTCCCTCTCTCTCTTTCTCTCTCTTTCTCTCCCTTACTTTGTTCCACTTCGTTCCTTTTGCACCCTTTCCGTCATCACCTCGAGCTACTTTCCCGCGGAACTGATTGTCTCAGCGTTAAGCGGCAATTTATATGTTAACAGGGGCGAATCGGTCGAGAGTCATGCATACATTTAAGGAAGAGGAATTTCTGTGGTAGGAGAAAGTTTTGCAGAAGAGACAACGAGACGAATGAGATAAAGTATGAGAAAGAGAGAGAGAGAGAGAGAGTGAGAGTGAGAGAGAGGGAGAGAGAGGGAGAGAAAGAGAGAAGTTGCGTTTACGGTGCATTCACTCATACGACGACGAGTGACAGTTTAACCGATACTTTGCTCGTTATCAAAAGATAAGGATAAGGATAAGGATCGACGTCGTTCCTGATATTATACCTCTAATGATCTTTATTTTTTTTTTATTTTTTTCTTGAGTCCTTATCATTATTTGAATATCAAACAAAATATGTCGATTCTATCGAGAAAAATGAAATCGAGATATAATTACGATCTATCAATCAAATCAGATTCCCCTTATCTATTTATACAAAATTATTTTTTCAAAGATAATCTACGGAAATATATATGTATACATATTGTAATGAAAAGAATAAAAACTACTAAAAGGACTAATCGAGTTAATAATTATTATTTACAGATGTGTGAGAGTAAAATTAGAAGGCGTACTTTGCGATCGAAGTTCATTATACACCGGAATAGAAAAAGAGACAGAGACAGAGACAGACACAGAGAAAGAGAAAAAGAGAGGGAGGGAGAAAGAAATAAGAGAAAAAACGTAGGATTAAAATGAATTCAATTCTCTACGGGTGTGACGCGCGACAAGAAGAACCGGGCGTGCGAATAGCAGGGAAGTTAAATTACTCCCACGTGAGGTGTTACTCGCTTATACAACGTACGCAACACGTTCTTACGGAAAAGCTCGCTCGTGCTTGCGAATGGGTCAAGAAAGGAGAAAGACCGACAATAGATATACAACATCATATATCACGTTTAGCACTATAGTCCGAGATAAGTGTGTTCCTTTAAAACGACTTACGGATACAAGCAAGACATTTTTCGGATGTTTCGCTTCTTGTGTCACACTTTTATTTTTATTTCTTCTTTATTTTTTATAAGGATGTTGTTTGGTAGTATTTTTTATTGTATATAAATATACAATAATAAGGAATATGTAATATTTAATATTCATGTTTGATCAATTATAGAATATTAATTGATGATTTAAATAAAAAAAAAATTATTGCAAATGAAATAATCGTAAAATTTGAGAACTATTGTTTTGTTTGTTTGTTTGTTAAAGAATAAAACAAGAGTGGAGTAATAATATTTAAGAAAAAATATACTGATGAAAGAGAATAAAATACGATAGCAATACAAATTACTTTAATACGTGTGTGGGATACTCGAATTGACCCTTAAACATTAGCTTTGTGACCTTAGCCTCCCCAGAGGCTCGACCGAGGTAATCCCTTCAACTTTTAACGACTCGGGACTTTGCTAGCATTTTCTCTCGGCATGCATCCCTTCTTGCTTTCAACTTTTCTTCCCTACTCTTTGCCACAGCCTTTATTCAACAAACTCTGCTCTTTTCGACGACCATAACTAACTCACCCTTTAAACTTTTTTTTTCTTTTTCTTCTTTTTTTATTTTCTTTAATTTTTCTAATCGTAACAGCTTCACGGGTAACTAAAAATATTACTTATTACTCGATTATCATGAAATTTTACGCGATCGTTCAAATTAACGGTTAAATTTCCAATTAAAATTCTAAATTAATGAAAAATATTGTTTTATTATTATCTAGTATCTATGATTTTATCGGACCAATCATATTGTCATAAGAAAAATATATATTGTTCTGTTTAAAGCAAAAAAACCTCAATCCATCCCCAAGACATCGATCGAATACAAAACATTATCTTTAAGATAAGATATTTATTTAAATTATAATACCCTCTTTGTGAATTCTGCAACTTTGAACTAAAATATTAGATTTCTTTTGTGCTATTTCAATATTCGTTATATGATATTAAATAATACATATAATATGTGTAAAAATGAATTTATTTTATTTCATGTATGTATTTGCCATTTAAATATTATCGCAATCACAAAGTTTGACTTAATTTCTTTGAAATCATTTTGATTTGTTCTCGGTTTTGTAAAATAGTAACATCGAAGTCACGATAACGAAGTAGAAAAGCCATGCGTTCGCGCCGACATTCCTGCTGCGCTTCCGTTGCGTTCCTGCTGCGTTTCACGCTGCGCCACAGTTTACCACCCGTAGTTAGTTTCATTCTTTTTCGTTTTCAACCTTCTATACCCCTTCTACGTATCCGTTCAACTTACACGAATCATGAAGCAGAGAAAAAAAAAGTAAATCATTTATTTCACTGTTACGTTGTCACGTAGCTGTTTATCTGTATCCGTTCTCGCAATAGTCAGATTTATTTAGTTCATGGAACCGACCATGTAAGAAAATGATTCGATACTGCTGTATGTGCCTTAAGCTCAAAAACTCGACAGATAGTAAAGAATATTTTTCTTGATAAATCAGTGACCGGGGATGGAATGATGCCGGACTATCTGAGCAGCTATCAAATATCTAAAATAATTTTTTTAATCTATCTTCGAGCAATTATCTATTTGTATAATTTCTTTCTGAATAAAGTATTCGCTTCTCCAGCCTTTTCTCTCAATTCCGTGAGAGTTTTATGCAAAATATTGCATGTATTGCTAAACCACGTCTTCAATAAGTAATAATTTCTTTCCTACTATTTTCTCTAAACACTATCTTATGATTACTTTAGTACTAACTACTTCTATATTGCATTCCTATATTACCAAATAAACAGTCGACTAATAGTAAGTATAAAAAATTTATTTTACAATTTATTTTATAATATCTATAATTTTATCATAAAAGTAAATTTATTTTGTTTTAAATTTATTAACTTATTCTATAGTTAATTATAGACATAACTATATATATATATACTTTATTTACATGGCCTTGTACGAAACGAGCGTTCGTGTGCGGCCGATTTAAAGATCGGTACTGCTGAGCACTTCTCGTTAACGGCTTTAAAAGTTCCGATTAAACGGAAAATTGCATTAAATCCGATGTTCGCCGCTCTGAACCTTTTACGACTACGTTCGAAAGATCCGATCAACGATATATCGATCGTACCGAATGTATTGTACTATCGCACGATCAAGTATACGAGCTAATCTCTGCGTGAAACTTTAGAGAGCAAACAGACATTCCGTGTTTTCTACCGAGCATAGAGAGAATTGCAGATTTCGTGGAACACGTTACTCTACGAAAAAGTATTCTCGAATAAAGGATTCATCTTTTTCGTTTTTGTTTTTTTTTTGTTCACTTTTTCCCTTCTTTCTCTTTATACCTTATTTTCTATGAAAAACGTAATTTAAATAAATTTTCTCCTTACAGAAACAGTCTTCTTTCCTTGCGGAATCTTATGAGTTCAAGTTTCGAAAATATTCGACACCCTCGTTGTTAGAAATTAGATAAATTCAGAAAGAAATAAACAATGACAACGTTTAAAACTTGCTAACATATTGTAAAAAAAAGAATCACGCAATAAAGCGGAGCCAGCGTTCAATGAATTCATTTAATTTAATTAACGTAAATTAATAAACTATTTATTAAGAATATTTTTTATTCCTAATATTTTTATATCTCGTCATGTATTCAATTAATTTTTTTTTAGCCAATGAAGGCAAACATAATTAGCACATTTTTTGAGATAAAATCGACATAACAATTCTAATTAAAAAATATTGAAATTTTATGCAATAAATTCTGCTCAAACTGATTTTAATCAAAACAAAATATGTGTACGATTATTTTACTTAATATGTTACTAAGTAAAAAGAAATTGAACCGTAATAAAATAAACTTAAAGAGCTCAGCATGACATAAATATAATTTTTTATTATTACAATATTCTTCTTATCCTCGAAGTCTAATACTAATTATGAAAATATATCTTTCTTTAATTTGAAAATGTTAATTGGCGCGTATGAACGAGTTGTCGATAGGTAATGTAATAATAAATCATTGTTTGCCTCGTGTACAAATCATAAAAAAAAGAAGAAAAAAGAAATAGAAAAAAAAAACTAAAGAAAAAGAGAAAGTAAAAAATGAGTGGGAAAGTTACGCTCTCTTACTGAGGTGAAAGTTCAGGCTCAATTAGCAAGTGTATATGCAGTC